CGCACAGCTTGCCATTAGCAATGCCCTCCCCCTGTCCGAGCGACCTCGCCTTAGGTCTATCACCACTTCCCAGGCTTTCCTAGATGCTGTTGTCCAGCGCTTTTCCACCCCGCCTGCTGCCTCGGTCGGTCGTCTGATCCTCCCTATGCTCTTCCGTGACCTTGCGTCGTTCCCCACTGTCGCCGACCTGGCCGCTCACCTGCGCACTATAGACGAGACCTGGCGTGCTGCCTGCACTCCCACATAGCTTCTAGCCCACCAGCCGCCCCTCACCTCTACTCTCTACCTGCTAGCCACCCGCCTCCCTGACCGTCTTGCCACTGCCCGAGACCACTTCCTTAGCGTCCACCTCGCAGACCTCACCCTCACTGACTTTGTTGACACCCTGTCTGCTATAGAGGCCCGCCACCGCTCTATCGCTCAAACCAGCGGTATTGTGACGGTCCCTATCTTTCAGGGTTGCGCCCCCGCTCAGTGCACCTTCTTTGACGGTTCTGTTGCTGTGGCTGAGACTGCTGCTGCAGCACAGGTCCGTCCGGGGAAGGGTCGCCGCCCCAAGGCTGGGCGTGGCGGCGGGGGTGGGGGTGCAGGTGTAGGTGGTGCTGGAGCTGGGTCTCCTGGTGGTGGTGCGGATGAGGGGACCCTGCCAGGTGCAGCCGAGCAGCCTTCTCAGCAGCCGCCGGCGTTGCAGCCGAACTCGCGTAAGCCGCAGCAGCCGTAGCAGTCGCAACCGCCGCAGAGACGGGCGAGTGGTCTCCCGCCCGGGTGGCCTGGCGCTGATGGTAGCGCTGGACGTGGTGGTGGTGCGCGTGGTGGGCTGCCGGGTGGTGGTTCGGGTGACACGCGCTGTCAGTACCTGCTCCAGACCGGTCCTCGCCGTGGCTTCGTTTGCGGTAAGATCGGTCACACCTCCGTCCGCTGTTTCCGTCGCCTGGACGACCTATTTCGTCAGCGTTTCGGCCCATCGCCCGAGCTCCCAAGCTTGCACAGTTTGCTTCCTCGTAGGGTTCAGATTTTTGATCTGGATATGGATGAGATTGTTACTGCTCTGCATGTGATGTATGCTGATGACTCTAGTGTGCTTCCGTCCTATTACCCCTTGTTGCCTAGTGTAGGTGTGCCTTGCTTAGACTCCCCTGCTGCGTCAGGCGTAGGATCCCCTGCTTTGTTTAGCCTTGGTGCCTTAGCCTTGCACATCCCCTCGTTCTCCAGGAACCGAGTTGGTGTCGTCTGCCTTCAGAACCTTGGCGTCACCACTACGTTCCCTGGACACGAGCGGTACGCTGTCTGTACCGAGGCCGCCACTGGTGCTCCCCTGTCCACATTCCCACGGGACCCGGTGTTTGGTCTTTTCACAGTGGACACGGTGACCCCCCCGGCTGGGACCCCCCCTTAGGTGACTGCGTTTCCCCCGGTTGTTGGTGCCTGCTTTCTTGGTCTCTCACTCACGCGACTCTTCTCTGGCACCACCGCCTGGGTCACCCTGCGCTCCTGCGTCTGCATCACATGTCGCAGCACGGCCTCATCCTAGGCCTCACTAGGTCATTCCCCGAGTTTCCCTCCTCCCCAACCCCACCTTGCGCGCCCTGTGTCGAGGGCCGGCTTCGCTGTGCCCCTCATTCCTCCTCGTTTCCCGCTACTGCAGCACCGCTACAGACTCTGCACATGGACGTCTGGGGCCCCGCCCCCATCCATGGGTCGTGTCGAGAGCGCTACTTCCTAGTGCTTGTCGACGACTACACGCGCTACACCACTGTATTCACCCTGGAGCGGAAGGCCGACGTGTCTGCCCTTCTTATCCCGTGGCTTGTCTCTGCGCGTGTCCCTCGTGGTCTCCCTGTCTTGCGTCTCCACTCCGACCGTGGTGGCGAGTTTGCCTCTAGTGTCCTTGGTCGTTTCTGTCGTGCGGAGGGCATCACCCAGACGTTCACCTTGCCGGACTCCCCGCAGCAGAATGGGGTCGCTGAGCGACGCATCGGTTTGGTCATTAAGGTGGCTTGCACCTCCATGATCCATGTCGGGGCACCCCATTTTCTGTGGCCATTCGCCGTTCGCTACGCCGCTCACTAGCTTAGCCTGTGGCCGCTCCCCTAGCGGCCTCAGGTTTCGCTGACCCTCCTCTGGTCTGGGTCACTCGGTGACGCGTCTGCGTTCCACGTCTGGGGCTGCCTTGCTCACATTTGTGCCTCTCGCCTTGAAGAGCCAGCGGCCATCGACTACGTTCACCCCAGGTGGGGGAACTGCGTCGACGTAGGTGCCGGTGGATCTCCAAGATGCCATCTCCTGCTCCATGGCAGCTATCCACTGAGAGGCCCAGGGACCCGAGACCGCCTCAGCGTAAGTGCGAGGGGTCGGGATGTCGAAAGCGTCGGGGTTACCCTTAGGGACTAGAAGCATAGAGTAGAGATGGGGAGCAGCCTCGGACAGGAAAGCAAGCTCGTACTGGCGGTCCTCCAGGACGTTACTGCCGAGGGCAGGAGCACCTTCGACAGACGGAGGACAGGCAGGGTCAGAGACCAGAGCGGGGGCGTAGTCAAGGCGGCGGGTAGAGGCGAAGTCAACGACCGCAGCGTTAAGGGCGTCAAGGCTCGAAACCAGAACAGACGAGTCGGTAACGAGAGAGGCAAGGACCCGAGAAACAAGAGGACGAGCGGCACGCACGTAGTCATATAGAGAGGGGGGGGCAACGACAAGGGAGGACCGAGGGGGCGACGGGAGAACGGGAGGACGAGACGCGTGGGAACGAAGCAACATAGGGTGAGAGCGCGAGACAGGGGAGACAGGTCGAGCACGGGAGGGACGGCGAGACCATACGTGAGACGGAGGAGTCGGGTCAGGAGTCAGAGGAGGGGACACAAGGGGAGAACGAGGGGGAAGACGAGTCGGGGACGAGTCCGGCGGAGGGAACACAGGGCCATAAACGGGAAGAGGAGGAGACGGGAGGAGAGGAACGGACGCAGGGTCAGGGGACGAAAGGCCGAGCAGGCGAAGGGCAGACACTGGCGGGGACTGCTGCTGCGGCGGCCCCTACAGACCCCTCGGTCTTCGTTCGTGCTGGCCAGACCCCGTTCTACATTCTTGTTTACGTAGACGACCTGGTCTTCGCCACAGCAGACAGGGACGCACTGGCCTCCGTGAAGGCAAAGCTGTTAAAGAGACACACTTGCACTGTCCTTGGAGAACTACGCCATTACCTTGCCTTGCAGATCTCCAGGGACAGAGCAGCGCGCACCATCACTTTGACTCAGTCACACTTGGTGCGCCAGGTCCTTCAGAGGTTCGGCCTTCAGTTCTCCTCCGCACAGCCCACTCCTCTGCCTCCAGACCACAGGCTCTCCGCTCCAGTTCCTGAGGAGTCAGTAGAGCCCAGTGGTCCTTACGCAGAGCTAGTGGGTTGCCTCATATACCTGATGACTTGCACTCGCCTAGATCTCGCATACCCTCTCAGCATCCTGGCTCGCTTTGTGGCTACAGGCAGACACCGACCTCAGCACTGGTCTGCCGCTAAGAGGTTTTTGCGTTATCTTGCAAGTACATCGGGCATGGGGTTGGTGCTAGGAGGACGTAGGCGAGTGGTCCTTCCTGGACACACAGACGCTTCTTGGGCATTCGACGCCGAGACCCTCAGGTCCTCGCAGGGCCACTGCTTCAGCCTTGGTTCAGGTGCCGTCTCGTGGAGAGCTACCCGCTCCTCGTCTGTTGCCCAGTCCAGCTGTGAGGTCGAGATCTACGCCAGTGCCATGGCGGACAGGAGCTCCGCTGGCTGACCTTCTTGCTCACTGACTTAGGTGAGCAGCCTAGCTCTGCCCTAGTGTCAAGAGCGTTGACTCGAGGGCAGAGCGAAGCACATCCATTTGCGGTACTTCCTCCTGCGTCAGCTCCAGCAGCGCCGCCAGGCGCGCGTAGTAAACTTGACCTACGGTGCCAACACAGCTGATATCTTTACGAAGGCGCTTGCGCCTCAAGATCATCAGCGGCACTGTGTACAGCTAGGTCTCGTTCGTGTAGCCTCTCACTTGCTAGGGCATTGACTTTGTAGTGTCCTTTGTATATATATTTTACCCTGACTGGCCTTGTGGCTTTTCTCTAGTGGCTGGACTAGTAGTGCCGCCCTGGTCTTGCTCTTGTCTTGTCTGCACTCCTTTGACTGGTCTTTAGACCCTTGCCTGAGAGGCTGGACTACGTGCCGCTCTGAGCTGCTTCTTTCCCTTTTAGGCACTGCCATGTATAGTCTAGGGGGTATGTCAAATGTAACTTAGGTCGTTACTGTAGACTATACTGGATTGTGCCTTAGAGGGTACAACGCCTTAGTCTATATACCCTTGTACTCACACATTCTAGTTCAATTATTCTTTCTGATATCTTTCGCTACGTTTCTGACTGTCGCAACCTTTTTTTTCTCTCCCCCGGTTTCGTTTGAGTGTTTAGGGCGTGTCCAGCGCGTACGTTTACAGTACACGGTTCACGGTTCAGTAGGATATATCGCGACCAGGAGCGGTTTTCATGCTGGACCACGTCGGACCTCTGAAAACCATATTAAATCGTATAAAGTGAATTGTAAACGAACGTGCTGGACACGCCCTTAGTGCTCGAGTCTGGGTCGTTTATTCTGACCGCCAAAAAACTCAGTTTTCAAGAGCGCCCATGGTGTGCTTTTCTAGCTCGTGGTTTTAAGGTGGAAAATAACACATTTCGTATGGCATTCAAAATATGCACGATGTCAGTATACACTGGTAAAGGGAAGTGTATAGCGAGCCCTCGTCCATTTGCTGCCCAGCAGGTCCTTTGAACCAAGCCAGTTTCCAGAACTTCAATTGATCCTTCGTGGCAGCTGGTGTGCCCACCAGATCAGCAGGGCATGTGTGCTTGACGTGTTTTCGTCCATCAGGATCAGTACATTCACAGCAGCACGCGAAACACTGCCACGTGGTATCAACGGATGCTGCACAGCACATGACGTTTGGTCCCCCGTTGCCACTTCACCACTAGGCTAGGGATTGTTTTTCTGAGAAGCACATCACGCATTTATTAGCCATCTGCCTGTTGTCATACCGTTTGCTCCTCTCCCGATCTGTCCACGAGGCCAAGCTTCTCAGCCATGGCTGCCGCCACGACCTCCATGACTCTCAGGTCCTCGTTCATCGGTGCGCCAGGCATCGAGAAGTTTCCTCGCCAAGCCATTCGTATGGTTTCCATCGCACCGGCTGTGAGGAGGCCGGCATCTTTCAAGGTATGCCCCTTGTGCTATTGTACTGTGCACCCGTCCGGTGTAGGAGGCCAATAGTTGAAATATCTCTTTAGTAAATCCTGACAGGTGGATCCGAGTAATTCGCTTGGCAATTGAATTGTGCGCGTGTTTCCTATTAATAAAAAGTTGCGGCTTTCCGCATGTTTAGGTGATGGCAGTGTCGAAGAAGGCTGTCGCCGTTCTGAAGGGTACCGCTGGAGTTGAGGGCGTGGTCAGCCTGGTTCAAGAGGATGACGGTAAAATGCCCTTCAGAATTCGTATACGCCAGTGTTGGGATGTCAGTAGCTCCCATATCTGACTCTGCTGTATGCTTTATGCAAGCAGGCCCCACGACCGTGTCTCTCAAGATTACTGGCCTCGCTCCTGGCAAGCATGGCTTCCACTTGGTTCGTATATCATCTAGATCGAATTAGTATCGTTCATGTGATTCCGTCATTCTTGCTGACGCATTTCACACATTTGATTGTGCAGCACGAGTTTGGCGACACCACCAACGGCTGCATGTCGACAGGTGAGTACACCACCACCACCACCACCACCCTGTTTCGTTATGCTTTTTGAGGCAAAAAAAGAGACTGTCCCAACTCGTGGTTTTTCTGCCTGTCGCTTACGTGTCGTCGCCTGTCAACCCACCACGTTCCCAACAGGCCCACACTTCAACCCTAAGGGCCTGACGCACGGTGCGCCTGGTGACGAGGTTCGCCATGCGGGTGACCTCGGGAATGTGGTTGCCAACGCGGAGGGCGTGGCTGAAGCAACCATTGTTGACTCTCAGGTATATGTTTGCGGATCTGCGTGGGTCCTCAAGTAAGGCCATATGTACGGCGGGTAGGTCTCGATGCTGTTAGCCGTGTGGTTTAGTTGCTTCTTTTCCTGAAGTTGTTCAAATCACCTGATGGCAGATCCCTCTTGCCGGACCGAACTCGGTTGTGGGACGTGCGTTTGTCATCCACGAGGGAGAGGACGACCTTGGCAAGGGTGAGTCTCCACTGTCATCCCTATTGCTAGGTCGTTGCCATGCTCGGCTCCAGCAAGGGTTGTGGATCGCCCACTTATTCGTTACAACCGGTTCATAACCTTTCAGGTGGACACGAACTGAGCAGCACCACTGGAAATGCTGGTGGCCGTCTTGCATGCGGTGAGTTGGTGCACTATTTGCTTTGAGCCCTTAGTGCACCCCTTTCATCATGTAGTTGTCTGACTTGACATGGTACGTTCCTTTGCAGGTGTGGTTGGCCTGACTCCCCTGTAAATTTTATGGCCGTTAGTCCACAACTAGCATGAACTACCGTATGTTAGTTGTCCAGTGGAATGTGTCAAATCATCGGTTTTTCACCTTGAAAGAGGATCTTCAAGATGTGAAGTTTAATATTAAAAGTCTGCAACCAACCCTAAGACAAAGTACGCACTATGTGACTTTTAGTCTACTCCCCAACTAAGCAGTTCCTGATAATCCTGATCAGCATGAACTCGTGGATTACTCTGACACAGGTCTCAGCTAGGATTTTGGGCTGTCGGAGAATCTAACTGCTAGAATACAAGAATGTGTGTGAAGTTACAGCTAGCGGACAGACCAAACTCAAGATGCAGAATCTTTGAATCTTGAGTCGGGTAGCGAAAATGGCGAGGGGCACAAGTGACGCAAAAATGAGGGCGGTGTCAAACATGTGTATCTCTTATGTGTGCATAGACTGTAGAGGGTCACCTCTTAGAGGGTACAACACTTAGATATATTCACCTGTACTCTCCCTCTCTATTATTCATTCATTCCGTTCTGAGATGATATCAGCAGTAGGTAGGTCCCCGCCCACTCACGCGTCCGCTCTAGGACCTACCCTCCCGCCCTAGTCGCGCCCGCTTTAGCGGCCCCTCGTGCCCGCCCCAGCGCCCGCCCTAGCGGCCCCCGCGCTCTCCTCGTCGGCTCCTGCGCCCGTCCTAGACGGCCGCACGCCCGCCCTCACGACCTCCGCGCCCTGTCCACTCGGCCCCTGCGCCCGTCCCAGCCGGCCCGCGCCCGTCCCAGCCGGCCCCACGCCCGTCCCAGCCGACCCGCGCCAGTCCCAGCCGGTCCGCGCCTGTCCTAGCCGGCCTCCGCCCGTCCCAGCCTGCCCGCGCCCGTCCCAGCCGGCCCCGCGCCCGTCCCAGTCGACCCGGCGCCCGTCCCAGCCGGCCCCGCGCCCTTCCCAGCCGACCCTGCGCCCGTCCGAGTCGGCCCTGCGCTCGTCCCGCCGGTCTGGTGTCCGCCTGCTCCGGCCCTGCACCCTCCCTGGTACTGTTCCCTATCACCTGTACCGCACTGTACTTCACTGCCCCGCGCTGCACCGCGCTGCACCGCGCTGCACCGCACGGTACCGCACTGCACCGCCCTGCACCGCACGGTACCGCACTGCACTGCCCTACACCGCACTGCACCACGCTGCACCGCACTGCACCTCACTGCACTGCACTACCTTGTACTGCAATGTACAGTCCTGCACTGCTCCAGATGGCGGCGGAGCTTCGTTTCGACGCTGAAGGCCACCCTCTGGAGTTCGAGGCGTGGCTCGCCGACCTCCGTCGCCACCTCAGTGGCCAGCGGCAGGATGGCCACCCGCTTTCCGCACACCTTGACGGTACGCTCCCCTGCCCAGACCCCCCTGCTGTGCTGTCCGCTGACCCCACACCAACTGAGCCCGAGTCTACTGCAGCCGCTGCCCTTGCGCGCTCTGTCTGGCTTTCCCGAGACGCTGTCGCCCAGCTTGCCATTAGCAATGCCCTTCCCTCGTCTGAGCGCCCTCGCTTTAGGTCCATCACTACCGCCCAGGCTTTCTTATATGCTCTCATCAAGCGCTATTCCACCCCTCATGCTGCCTCGGTGGGTCGCCTGATCCTCCCGGTGCTCTTTCCTGACCTCGCGTCCTTCCCCACTGTCGCTGATCTGGCTGCCCACCTGCGCACGATAGATGAGACCTGGCGCGCGGCCTGCACTGACGCACAGCTTAGAGCCCACGAGCCGCCCATCACCTCTACCCTTTACCTGCTTGCCACCCGCCTCCCTGACCGCCTTGCCGCCGCCCGTGACCGCTTCCTTAGCATCCACCCCGGTGAGCTCACCCTCACCGACTTTGTAGACACCCTGACTGTTATTGAGACCCGCCACCGCTCCATCGCCCAGGCGAGCGATACTGTGCCGGTCCCTATCTTTCAGGGTTGTGCCCCCGCTCAGTGTACGTTCTCTAACGGTTCTGCCGCTGTGGTTGAGACTGCTGCTGCCACAAAGTTCCGTCCGGGGAAGGGCCGCCGCCCCAAGGCTGGGCGCGGCGGAGGAGGAGGGGGTGCAGGTGGGGGTGGTGGTGGAGTCGGGTCGTCTGGTGCTGGAGCGGACGAGGGGACCCTGCCCGGTCCAGCTGCGCAGCCGCCTCCACAATCGCAGCAGCAGCCGCAGCAGGCGCCGCAGCAGTCGCAGCAGCCACAGCAGCCGCAGCAGCCGCCGCAAACGAGGCAGGCGAGTGTCCTCCCGCCCGGGTGGCCTGGCGCTGGAGGTGGTCGTGCGCGTGGTGGTGTGCCGGGTGGTGGTTCGGGAGGCGTGCGTTGCCAGTACCAGATCCAGACCGGTCCTTGCCGCGGCTTCGTCTGCGGTAAGATCGGTCCTACCACCCCTCGCTGCTTTCGTCGCATGGACGACCTGTTTCATCAGCGCTTCGGCCCGTCGCCAGACCTCCCAGACTGGCACAGTTTGCTTAGTCGTAGTAATCCGATTTTTGACATGGGCATGGATGCCATTGTTTCTACTCTGCATGTGATGTATGCTGATGACTCTAGTGTGCTTCCCGCTTATTACTCATTGTCGTCTACTGTAGGTGTGCCTAGCTTAGCCTCCCCTGGTGCGTCAGGCGTAGGAGCCCCTGCCTTGTTTAGCCTTGGTGCTTCCGCCGTCGCCCCGTCGCCGGACGCCACTGCTTCGCTTTCCTTCACCTTGGACTCTGGCGCTTCCCGGTGCTTCTTCCGCGACTTCACTACACTGACGCCGCTTCCTGTTCCTGCTGCCGTTTCTCTTGTTGACCCCTCCGGCGGTCCGGTAGTCGCCCGCAGTTCCACCACCCTTCCCTGTCCGGCGGTTCCTTCGGGCTCTCTCACAGGTCTGCGTATCCCCTCGTTCTCCAGGAACCTAGTTGGTGTCGGCTGCCTCCAGGACCTTGGCGTCACCACTACGTTCCCTGGCCACGAGCGGTATGCTGTCTGTACCGAGGCTGCCACAGGTGCCCCCCTGTCCACGTTCCCCCGGGACCCGGTGTCCGGCCTGTTCACCTTGGACACCATTACCCCCCCGGCTGGCGCGCCCCTTCAGGTCGCTGCGTCTATCCAGGTTGCTGCTGCCTGCTCCTGTCGGTCTCTCACTCACCGGACTCTCCTTTGGCACCACCGCCTAGGTCACTATGCGATCCCGCGTCTGCGTCACATGTCCCAGCACGGTCTCGTCCTCGGTCTCCCTGGTTCTCTCCCCGCTTTTCCCTCCTCCCCCGCCCCACCTTGCACACCTTGCGTTTAGGGTCGGCTTCGCCGTGCCCCTCACTCCTCCTCTTTTCCCCCTACCGCCGCGCCGCTGCAGACCCTGCACATGGACTTCTGGGGCCCCGCCCCCATCCATGGGCCGCGTCGAGAGCGCTACTTCCTCGTGCTTGTCGACGACTTCACTCGTTACACCACAGTCTTTCTCCTGGAGTGGAAGGCCAACGTGCGTCATGCTCTCATCCCCTGGCTTGTCTCTGCGCGTGTCCACTGAGGTCTCCCTGTCTTGCGCCTTCACTCAGACCGTGGTGGTGAGTTTGCCTCAGGTGTCCTTGGTCGTTTCTGTCGTGCGGAGGGCATCACCTAGACGTTCACACTGCCGGACTCCCCACAGCAAAATAGGGTCGCTGAGCAACGCATCGGCTTGGTCATGGAGGTTGCTCGCACCTCCATGATCCATGCCGATGCACTCCATTTTCTGTGGCCGTTTGCCGTGCGCTACGCTTCTCACCAGCTTACCCTGTGGCCGCACCCCCAGCAGCCGCAGGTTTCGCCGACCCGTCTTTGGACCGCGTCCCCTGGTGACGCGTCTGCGTTCCACGTCTGGGGCTGCCTTTCTCACGTCCGTGCCTCCGGCACGGACAAGCTCACTACCCGCACCCTTCCCTGTGTCTTCCTCGGTTTTCCCCTTGACGCGTCTGACTGGCACTTCTACTACCCGCCGTCTCACCGCTTCTTTCACTCTCGCGACGTCACCTTTGACGAGTCCATCCCCTTCTACCGTCGCTTTCCCCACAGCGGTCCCCCGGTTACCCCCCCCTGTTCCTGGTCACTCCTTCCCCGGTGGTCCCTGCCCCCCCCCCTCCCCCTCCCCGTCCTGCCCCTTCTGGTGTGTCCCACGTCACCCCTCTTCCGTCGGTGGTCCCGGTTGAGGAGTCGTCTGACTCTGGTGGTCCTGCGGTGCAGTCCTCGCCATCTGCCCCTCCCCAGGCGTCTCCTCCTCCACCGCCTCTGCAGCCGCCGTCGCCTCTGCTGTCACCGCTGTCGTCCCCGCAGCTGCCGCCGCTGACGCAGCAGCCGTTCGTTGCCTCTGGGGGTGCTGGCGTTGGAGTGGGTCCTAGCCCCGGTGGCCCTGGGGGTGGTGCCAGTTCCCGAGGGGTTTTGGGCCCTGGGACTGTTCCTTCTGAGGGTGCTGGAGTGGAGTCTGCCGGTGGTACCCGAGGAGCGGCTTGCGGTCCTGGTGTCAGCGTTGTGCCGCCGCAGCAGCCGTCCCCGCCGGTGTCTGCCCTTCGCCTGCTCGGCCTTCCGTCCCCTGACCCTGCGTCCGTTCCTCTCCTCCCGTCTCCTCCTCTTCCCGTTTACGGCCCTGTGTTCCCTCCGCCGGACTCGTCCCCGGCTCGTCTTCCCCCTCGTTCTCCCCTTGTGTCCCCTCCTCTGTCTCCTGACCCGACTCCTTCGTCTCACGTCTGGTCTCGCCGCCCCTCCCGTGCTCGTCCTGTCTCCCCTGTCATGCGCTCTCACCCTATGCTGCTTCGTTCCCACGCGTCTCGTCCTACCCTTCTCCCGTCCCCTCCCCTGTCCTCCCTTGTCGTTGCCCCCCCCCCTCTGTCTGACTACCTTTGTGCCGCTCGTCCTCTTGTTCCTCGGGTCCTTACCTCTCTCGTTACCGACCCGTCCGTTCCGGTTTCGAGACTTGACGCCCTTGTCGCTGCGGTCGCTGACTTCGCCTCTTCCCGCCGCCTTGACTACGCCTCCGCTCTGGTCTCTGATCCTGCCTGTCCTCCGTCTGTCGGGGGTGCTCCTGCCCTTGGCAGTGACGTCCTGGAGGACCGCTAGTTCGAGCTTGCTTTCCTGTCCGAGGCTACTCCCCATCTCTGTTCCATGTAGCTAATCCCTGAGAGTGACCCAGACGCTTTCGACATCCCGACCCCTCGCACTTACGCTGAGGCGACCTCGGGACCCT